CAAAGTTGCCGAGAGAGAGAAGGCACACACAAAATCAAATAAAAAATAACAGCACAAACTCAAAACATGAGATTTACGTGGGTTGGCAAGTTGCCTACGTCTATGGGGCAAGAAGGGGAGGGGTTTTCACTATTAGAAAGAAAACACAAAATAGAGATTACAAATCACTCACAAACCCTCAAATTAATCTCTCAAACAAAGCTCTCAACTCTCACCAATTTGCTCTCACAAGAAATCTCAAAATCACCCTTTATCCCTCTCAATTCAGAAAAAATTCTGATCAATACAAAACCCTAAAATCGGGTTTTAATATATATCAAAGCACAAACCCAAATAGGACAGGAAACCAAGCCCCGTGGCAAACGACAAAAACCAAAAATCGATTACAGGGTTTGGCGGTCGGCCGCGACCGTCGACCGGCCAGAGTGCAGAGACACACCCTGTACTCGTGCACGTTTCCAGTCGACCGTCGAAGTCATCGCGGTCGACCATACGGCCTCCAAAATGTTCCCTTCGTCAATTTGTCTGAACTTCGTCGCCGTCGTTCCCGTTTCTACAATTCTCCATCTAGGTGAAGTTTTTTCAAAACTGAGCCGACACTAACCAAATCAAACGTCTTACTTGTTACGTCCAGTACGAAGTGGAACAATCCACGATAACGGATTCAATCCACAACAAGTCGAGAACCCAAATAAGAATGCGAACAAACTCCAAAATGTCGGTATCAACTCATCAAACCGGCTGCATCAAAATAACTGCTTACGTATCCTCTTGCCCAACGAATCAAGCCTCACGTAGTTCATCCAAATGGCCCCAAACGACCTCAATCAACTAGAAAATTTCTCAATTCTTCACTAACCTTTCGATCATCAACACTAACCAATCTGCAGCTGTTCACGCCCCTGTTATCCTCAAAGTGAAAAGACAAACTCTCTTCTAAACTTGCATCTCTCCCCACTAACTCTGTCTTGGAGCTTAACCCCTCAACTATATATGTAGAAGAAATACAATTACCAATCATAGTCAAATCTGAGTTGTGTCTACCAGCTGCACTCAAAATCTGATCCTAAACCTCCGGTTTTTTATCCTCAAACTCATCATCTGTATCTGTTGAGGGCGGAAGCCACTAGATGTCCGCCGAGGAACCAAACCAAATACCGAGAGAGAAGGCAACTCAAATCAAATGATAATGACATAAACTCAAACACAATGTTTAGCGTTGTTCGGAAAATTACCTACGTCCACGGGGCAAGAAGGGATGAGTTTTCACTATAGAGAAAAGAGAGTACAAAATAGAGAATACAAGATCACTCAACTAACCTCTCAAACAAATCTCTCAAATCTCACAAAGTAAACCCTCAAACAAATTACTCAGAAATATCTCTTTTTTTGTGCTCAAAATCACCTTCAAGCTACCCTAAAATCCAATTCTAGCAATTGGAACAATCGATAACCCTAAACAAAACGTATTTCTATTTATATCAAATAGAAAACCCAATCAGAACAGGAAACCAAGCCTAGGTCCAAAACCGCATCATGGTCGACCGTCGCGCCAGTCGTGGTTGACCGTCGCGCCAGTCGCGGTCGACCGTGGCAAATGACAGAGAATAAAAAACCACTACAGGGTCTCGCGGTCGACCGTCACGCCACTCGCGGTCGATCGTAAAAAGTCCAGAGACTTTTCCAGGCTACGTGCATGTTCGCGGTCGACCGTCGCGTATGTTCGCAGTCGACCTCGCGCCAGTCACTGTCGACCTGCCCGAACTCAAAACTGTCCTCCGCTATTTCCTAAACTTTGTTGTTTCCTCTTTAATTCTCCACCTCGGTGAAGTTTTCTCAAAACTGAGCCGACACCAACCAAACCAAATGTCTCACTTGTTACATCCAGTACAAAGTGAAACGAAATCACAACAACGGACTCAATCAACAACAAGTTGAGACCCAAATGAGAATACGAACACTCTCCAAACATCGGTATATACCCATCAAATCGGCTGTATCATAAATGACTGCCTACGTATCCTCTTGCCAAAGGAATCAAGCATTCACGTAGTTTCCCCAAATGGTCTTCAAATGCCCTCAATCAAATAAAAAAGTTCTCAACTCTTCACCAACAAATATGCGGCTGATAGCTCTCCAAATGGCCCCAAAGTGAAACAAAAAAAGTTCTCAACTCTTCACCAACAAATATGCGGCTGATAGCTCTCCAAATGGCCCCAAAGTGAAACAAATCAAACACCTCACCAACAAATATGCGGCTGATAGCTCTCCAAATGGCCCCAAAGTGAAACAAATCAAACACCTCCACCTGAGGTGAACCAATGATCGTATCCAAATCATATCCACCAGCTGCATTTGAGTCAACCAACTCATCATCTGCACCCAAATACAAATGATCCCCTAACTGTATCACCTCAGCTGGAATCTCAAACAATACAGTATGATCTGGAGTATGTAGAGTAATCTTCACCCAATATGGAGTAGCATCGCTCTCCATCTGCTGTGATATATCTAAGGTCTGTCCAAAACTATCTACCTGCTGAGAGTCAATTAGCTCTCTCATCGAAACCTCAACCGAAGTGACACTACCAAACCAAACATCCAATGGAGTTTTACCTCTAATCGCAGCAGTCGACAACCTATGACCAAGATAACATAAATATGTCAAAGCTTCAACACCAGAATCAATGCTCGATATGAAACGCCGGTCCTCCTCCAGTAAGGAATAACTCACCAAATCTGTCATCTCATCTCATTGTCCTAAGATTTCCTTTCCACCGAAGTGTCTCAAAATATCATGAACTCGGTTCAAATACAAAAACAGGTCCCTCTTGTACCTCCCACTAAAATCAAAATAAAGTATCTTCACCTTTCTGCCAATCTCACACTTCTTTAATCTGTTGGAGACTATTAGGACTTTATCCAATCTGGATTTGGTTGTAACCCAAGCATGCCTAGAACAGCCACCAACAAAGGAAACCAAACATCGATTACCTCCTAACGATACCTCATTGGAAGACTCCCAAACATCCGTGTGAACTCCTCCTAAAAGACCCTTAGTGTGGTGAATAGAGGTGTCAAACTTCACCTTGATCTTCTTGCTCACATCAAAGTGTTCACTGGACTTCAAATTACAGGCTTGTGCACCCATCTCCAAACCAATACTGGAATGATAAAGCCCCAAATGTCGTAATCTAGTCGAATCAACAGAAGTCACCAGCTCTCCACATGTTACCGAACTTCCAATCAAATAGTACAGGTTATTTCTCCTGACGCCCTTCATCACAATCAGAGTCTTCCACGATCTCGAGAACCATGTCCTCAGCATGAACTTTCAGACCCTCTCCAACCAAAGCTTCAATTAAGATCAAGTTCTTCCTCAATTAAGGAACATATCTCACACCACATTACTCCCTTACAGTCCCGTCAAATATTTTGATGTGAATTCTATCTATTCCAAGGATCTGACATGTACGATTGTCTTCCGTACATACCACACCACTATCCAGCTTCTCAAAACTGAAGAACCATTCCCTTCTAGGACACACATGATAAGTCGCACCACTATCCAACATCCACGATTCCTCCGAATAGCTACCTGTAAGACTGATAGAAAGCGAATAAATAAAAGTATCAGAAATATTACCCTCCGATATAACGATGTTTGCTTCTAATGATGGTTGCTTCCCTTTTCCTTTCTGTTTATTCTTCATCCATTCATCGAGCTTTGGACAATCTTTCTTCCAATGACCAATCTCCTTGCACCAAGCACACTGATCTTTTCTAACTATAGGATGCCCTACTCTAGACTGTGACTTCATATTCTTCCGGTTTGGATTCTTCTCTCTTGCGATCAATACCTCTGCTGTTGTGTCACTTGTAGACTCTTTATCCTTCTTTCGAAGCTGGTAATTAACAAGTGCAACGACGACCTCACTATATGAAAGAGATGCATTCTCATTAATAAGAGTAAGGACAAATGTCTTATATTCCTCGTCAGGTAAGAAACTCAACAACAACAACGCATTATCCTCATCTTCAATCACAACATCTACATTCACCAAATCCGCAAGAAGCTCCGTGTAGTGATTCATGTGATCACCAATAGAGATCTCATTCTTCAATTGGAAGCGATAAAGCCTCATCTTCAAATGCAAGCGATTTTTCACACTCTTGGTCATATACTTGCTCTCAAAGTCTCCCAAATTTTTTTAGCCGAAGTTTCATTCATCACATCATTCTTTAAATCTTGAGTCAAATAAAACCTAATCACACCACACACCATTCTATTCATCTTTTTCCAAACCTTCTCATTAATATCATCTGGCTTGCCATCCAATTTCAAAGTATCTTCCAAATTTTACGCGTTCAGCACATCCAAAATCTCACATCTCCATAATCTAAAATTGTTTATGCCATTAAACTTCTCCACATCCATCTTCGTAGAGTGGATATTCAAATTTTAAATGGTCTTCACGCCAGAAATACCACTCTCAACACCCGAAGTACCTTCTTTCCCAGTCATCTTCCTCAACACACCAACAACCAATGTGGAACAAACTAAAGAATAGATCCAAAATTTTAAAAAAAAAGATTATCTTTACCAAGAAGATCCCACATTTATCATCAAATGAAGCTCTTGATGAACTTTCAAAACGATCTACTCCTCCAAATAGCCCAAGCGTAGCCCGAGCTCTGATACCACTTGTTGAGGGCGGAAGCCCCTAGATGTGCGCCAAGGAACCAAACCAAATGCCTAGGGAGAAGGCAACTCAAATCAAACAATAATGACACAAACTCAAACACAAAGTTTAACATGGTTCGGCAAATTGTCTACGTCCACGGGGTAAGAAGGGATGGGTTTCCACTATAGAGAAAAGAGAGTACAAAGTAGAGATTATAAGATCATTCAACTAACCTCTCAAACAAATCTCTCAAATCTCACAAACTAAACCCTCAAACAAATTGCTCAGAAAGATCTCTTTTTTCTGTGCTCAAAATCACCTTCAAGCTACCCCAAAATCCAATTCTAGTAATTGGAACAATTGATAACCCTAAACAAAACATATTTGTATTTATAACAATTAGAAAACCTAATCAGAACAGAAAACCAAGCACAGGCCCAAAACCGCATCGCAGTCGACCGTCGTGTCAGTCGCGGTCGACCGTGACAAACAACAAAGAACAAAAAACCACTACAAGGTCTCGCGGTCGACCGCCGCGTCACTCGCATTCGACCGCAAAAAGTCCAGAGACTTTTTCAGGCTACGTGCATGTTCGCGGTCGACAGTCGTGTCAGTCGCGATCAATAGTCGCGCCAGTCGCGGTCGACCGGCCCGAACTTAAATCTGTCCTCCGCTATTTCCTGAGCTTTGTTATTTCCTCTTCAGTATCAACATCAACTATCTGATCCCCAAACTGTATCACCTCAGCTGGAATCCTAAACAATACAGAATAATTTGGAGAATAAGGAGTAATCTTCATCAAACGTGAAGTGGCATCACTCTCCACTCACTATGATACATCTATGATCTATCCAAAACTCTCCACCTGCTGAGAGTCAATAGGTTCCATCATCGAAACCTCATCAAAAGTGACACTACCAAACTAACTATCCAATAGAGTTTTACCTCCAATTACAGCAGACGACAACCTATAAATAAGATGGCTCGAATATGTCAAAGCCTCAACCCAGAACCTCTTCTGCAAACTTCTGCTTGACAACAAACACCGTTCCTTCTCCAGCAAGATACAGTTCTTTAAATTTGCTACCCCATCTAGTTGCCTCAAAATTTTCTTTCCATCGAAGTGTCTCAAAATGCTCTGAGCACGACACAAATATAGAAACGGTTCCTTCTTGTACTTCCTACCAAAATCAGAATGGAGTACTTTGCCTTTTTTGTCTGTCTTAGTCTCTATACACTTCTTCCACCAGTTGAAGACTACTAGGACTTTATTCAAACGGGACTTAGTAGCAACCCAAACATGTCTAGAACAATCATCAACAAAGGAAACCATATATCTATTACCTCTCAATGATACCTCCTTGGAAGGCCCCCAAACGCCCACATGAACTCCATCGAGAAGGTCCTTAGCTTGGTGAATAGAGATGCTAAACTTCACCTTGGTCTTCTTGCTCATATCAAAATGTTCATTAGACTTCAAACTGCAAGTCAATGCACCTTTCTTCAAATCAATACTGGAATGGCCCGGCCTTAAATGCCCCAGTCTAGTCGAATCAATAGAAATCGTCAGCTCTTCACCTGTCACCGTACTTCCAGTCAAGTAGTACAAGTTACTCCTCCTAACGCTCTTCATCACAATACGAGAGCATCTCACAATCTCAAGAACCACGTCCTCAATATAAACTTTCAGACCCTCTCTAACTAAAGCTCCAATCGAGATCAGGTTTTTCCTCAAGGAATGAACATATCTCACACCATGTAACTCTCTAACTTGTCACACCCTATGTCACTAGGAAAGAACCCTAGAGGGGAGATGGGTGAATAGGATTTATGCTAATCTAATCTGATTTGATATCAATTAAACTAATTAATAAATATACTAACAAATTAGATATGCAACAAGATATATATGCAAGGATATAAAAACAAGGGTAAGTAAATAAATATAAACAATATAGTGGATAAATTAGATAATGAGAGAATGACGATAGAGATAAACAAAATATAAGTGTACAAGCCAAACTCAAACACACAAGAAATAATCACGGAGTTCGGAACTTCCGTCCTACATCTCCACTCCCCACTCTCATGGAGAAATCCACTATCACACCGAATTTTTGACACACACCGGATTTTCGACGCTCACCCGAAAACGTTTACACCACACAATATCGATTTTTAACGCTCACCAATGAACGTTCACAAACACTCATAATGTAACTACACAACTACCACCTCAAGTATTGGCCTCTCACGTGTCTCCCTCAAATGCTCAAAATTATGACCTATCTTTACGCTTTACCACCGACCCCACTCCTCTTGAGACCGACCACGTCTCTCACCTTTACACTCTTCTTGGTGCATTTGTGCAATACAAAGTGAATCCTCACAGGTAAGCTCTCCAACAAATGATTATTATCTAAATAAGGTGAGAAATCAATTAAGCCTAACTCAATATTATAATCTCACAATCCCAAATATACTATGTATGAAAATACTAAAAGCTCAATACTAAAAGCTCAATGTAGGTGTGTGTAACAAAGAGATAAATCAAAACTAAACTCAATGTAATTCTAGCTAATAGAAATTATAATCAAAATAAATAAATAAATAGAAAAGAGAGAGAGCGAGAGAGAGAGATGAGTTGAATGCCCAAACACTAAAGGATGATCTCTTCAAGCTCTTGTGAAAATTTCTTCACAAACAAACTCTCTTGAAAACAAACTTAAAACCAAACTTAAACACTTATAAACTTGTTTTGAAACTCTTAAACATTCATAAGAAACAATAAAAGTTAAGGGCTTTTTATAGCCTCTTAAACCAGCTAAAAATCCCCCAAAAACCCACAAAAACAAAAACTAGCCGTTACTAGCCGTTATAGGCTGAAAAGACCAAAATACCCTAAAATCCAGCATTCTGGAAATTTGTGTATCTAGCTTTGTAAAATTAATTAAAAATAGTAAATCAACTACAAAAATAATAAAAATTTTAGGTAAGTTTCTATACGTGTATATAAACATTTTAGAGAAAGTATTTCTAAAATATCATTTTCCAGTTGAGAGAAATAATTATTTGAACACAGATATTACAGATTCTGAAAACTTCTGAAACACCCAATTTTGTAAAATTAATTCAGTATAGTAAATCAACTCCAAAAATAATAAAATTTTGGAAAATATTTTTAAACATGTAATAGAACATGTTAGAAAAATAATTTCTCAAATTACATTTCTCATTTGTGAGATATTATTTATTTTGTAAACCGTTCAAAACATGAAAATATATTTATATACGTGTTGTTAAGTTTTCATGTGTATGTGGCTAAACACATTGTTTACTAAAACAAAAAATGATAAATATGAAACATGTATTTATGTATATAAATAAGTATATTTATTTCATATTTATATAAATTTGAAAAACTATAAAACCAAAACGTATATGTGTGTATATAATTGAGCTTAAAGTATCTACACACAAAGCATAAAACCTAAACTATAAAAACTATACCCAAGCAACCTTGATCTTCAATTTGAGCTCGTCTTGGTAAACTTTGCGGATGAAGCTAGATATTGGATATTTGACTTGAATTGTATTGACTTCATATCGATATTTTCGCCAACCTCCATTGGATGTGATCGTGTAGGCTCAATTCCATCATACCTTCGACTGATTGTTTGTCTAAAATAAATATAAAAACACAAACATTAGACAAACAATATTAGTTGTAAATTATTTATTAAAACATCATCAAAATAAAAAGGCCAACAATCTCTCCCTTTTTGATGATGATAAATAATTTACACAATGAGTATATAAAATATACAATAAAGTACAATACTCATAAACATAAATATACTCACATATTTCTCCCTCTTTGGCAACATAAAAAATAGGGATATAAAAGAAATAGGAAAGCGAAAGATGCCCCTACCTATAAGCATGGTGAGTATAAAAACAAATATAGGAAAAATCTGTCACTATCAAAATATCTTAATGAATATATGCAATGAGGACCAAGGTAAACATATGTGAGCAAGCATAGATAAAAACATGCTAGGCAAAACTCACATACAACAAGACAATGAGAACACATATAGATATATCATTATGGAAGAGTGTGTCTCAAATCAAAAACATAAAAACCATATGAAAATAGATTTATGAAAACAAATGAATAGGAAACATGAGAATCATAAAAAAAATTCAAACGAAAACAAATCACTCAAATGAAATTATAAATCAAAATTTAAATCCCATAAAATAAATTGATATTAATTTTTGACAAAGAAAAGGCAAGAGGGGCAATCATATCAAGCTCTTAAGCTTGTCTCAACCCATATAAAGATTTTAGCACCCGGTAAACACAATTTAGGAAATAAACACCCAATAAATCCAGGAGTTGCTCAAACACAAACCTCTCATGACAATGAAAACCAAAAAATCATGAAAACAAAAGGATTATCCATAAAATTGTTTTCAAAAAAATATATTTTTCAAAACCAAGAAATAAAAAATAAAAAACAATAAGAATCTTGGTATTTTAAAAAAACCAAACTTGTTTTGGTACCTAACTACTCTTGGTACCTAAGAGTCTAGGGATATGACTCGTATCATCTAAGCTTAAAGCCCTAGGGTTATGAACCTATTTGGACGTATTTTGTGCACTAATCCGGTCACAACAATAATCTTACAAATGACCCTTCTGATTGTAATATGTGCAATGAAAGCGGTCTATTTGTTTTTCTGGACCATTAACTCGTGCACAGGAAACATTTGCAAACATGGATGATATTTTAAATTTATTTTGCAAATGTGAAAGTTTTTTTAAATCAAAACAAAATTTGGTTAAATGACCAAACCTACCACAAAAATCACATTTAAACACATTAGCATGCTTATGATGAGCTTTGTGAGTATGAGCATGTGAATGTGTATGTGTACATAATAAAGAAACTAAATGGGATGCACAAGGAGCATTAGCATTCTTATGTTTGTGTGCATCATAGCAAAATTTACCTAGATGGCCTTTTTCGGCCGTAAATGGAATATTTGTAAACTTTGCTATACAAATGTGCATAGTGTGTAGGTGATTTAGAAGTTATAGTACCAGATTTAGCATATTTGTTCATAAGTCTCTTATGATTATCAATGCATGTGTTTAAAGTTAAATCTAAGCATGATATATGGTTTTTCACAAGATTCAATTCATTATTAGTCACAACATCATTGATAATAGAAGTAGAGCATGTATGGTTATTCTTAAAAAAATCAAATTCATTTCTAATGTATTCTATTTCTAGCAATGGCATCATTATTAACATGAGTTAAGCAAGCAATAGACGAAGAAATGTTATTATTTTTCAAACTTAACAACTCATTGTTTTCTTTCAAACTAGCATTCTCTTTAGCAATTACATCAAGTTTGAAAGCTAGCGACTCATGATCGGATTTTAATTCTACATGCTTGCTTTTCAAATTAACAAAATTTTTATACAATTAGTTATAGGCATGCATTAATTTTTTATATGCACATGCGAGTTCATTGATAGATAAATCATTATCAGAATCAGATTCGCTTATCACATTAAGGCTATCGCCTAGTGACCGTATGCATGATGCTCCAATAAAACTTGAAGAGGAAGCCGCCAAAGCTCGTCGGATCGCCTCCAAGTTCCCTTGATGCGCTTCTATGAATTTTCACAATGTGTGAGCGCTTATCAAATGAATCAAGCTTGTTAGAAAATGATAAGTCAAAAGCATTATGCAAAAATTCTAACAAAAGTTTATTCATGGTAAACATTCTTAGATCATTTTTACTCCACTTAGATTTCTCCGAAGTGGGAACAATATAAGCACAATCTATAATTTTCCATAAATCAAAGTGTCTAGATCGAATAAAAAGTTTAAATCTAACACACCATTGAGCATAAGGGAAATTATCTAATCTACGAGCAATATTAATGGCATAACTAAACTAGGTGCACCGTGCATATCCATAATTATAATTATATGCAAGCAAGACAAATACAATCAAAACTAGATTAGCATAATAAGATAACTTAGATCTTTAACTCAAGACGATTAGACTTTAAATCAAAGAGCACCAAGTTCTAATACCAATTGTTAGACCCTAATGCCAGTAAAAAAGAACCCTAGAGGGGGATGAATAGGGTTTATGCTAATCTAATCCGATTTAATACCAATTAAAACAAATTAACAAATATTCTAGTAAATTAGATATACAACAAGATATATATGCAAGGATATACAAACAAGGGTAAGTAAACAAATATAAATAATATAGTAGATAAATTAGACAATAAGAGAATGACGATAGGGATAAACAAAATATAAGTACACAAGCCAAACTCAAACACACAAGAAATGATCACGGAATTCGGACCTTCCGTCCTACATCTCCGCTCCCCACTCCCGGGAAGAAATCCACTATCACACCGGGTTTTCGACGCTCACCCGAAAACGTTTACACCACATAATATCAGTTTTTAACGCTCACCGATCAACATTCACAAACACTCACAATGTAACTACACAGCTACCACCTCAAGTGTTGGCCTCTCACGTGTTTCCCTCAAGTGCTCAGAACTACGACCTACCTCTAACTTTTACCACCGACTCCACTCCTCTTCGGACCGACTACGTCTCTCACCTCTATACTCTTCTTGGTATATTTGTGCAATACAAAGTGAATTCTCATAATTAAGCTCTCCAACAAATGGTTGTTCTCTAAACAAGGTGAGAACTCATTTAATCTTAACTTAATGTTACAATCTCACAATCCTAAATATACTATGTATGAAAATACTAAAAGCTCAATGTGGGTGTGTGTAACAAAGAGATAAATTAAAGCTAAACTCAATGTAATTCTAGCTAATAGAAATTATAATCAAAACAAATAAATAGCTAGAAAAGAGTTTAGAAAATTTCTCCAATAAATGACAAGAGAGAGATGAGTTGAATGCCCAAACACCAAAGGAAGATCTCCTCAAGCTCTTGTGAAAATTTCTTCACAAACAAACTCTCTTGAAAACAAACTTTAAACCAAACTTAAACACTTGTAAACTTATTTTAAAACTCTCTTAAACATTCATAAGAAACAATGAAAGTTAAGGGCTTTTTATAGCCTCTTAAATCAGCCAAAACCCCCCAAAAACCTACAAAAATAAAAACTAGCCGTTACTAGCCGTTATAGGCTGAAAAGATCAAAATACCCCAAAATTCAGCATTCTGGAAATTTGCATATCTAACTTAAAATCAATTAAAAATAGTAAATTAACTATAAAAATATTAAAAATTTTAGGTAAGTTTCTATACGTGTATATAAACATTTTAGAGAAAGAATTTCTAAAATATCATTTTCCAGTTGAGAGAAATAATTATTTGAACACAGATATTACAGATTCTGAAAACTTCTGAAACACCCAGTGTTTTCAATGCGCGAGGCGCAATGCGGGGCGCAAAGTCAGTTTACGCGTACATGCGCAAGGCGCAATGTGATGCGCGCGCCCGAGCGAAGCGAGGCGCACTCTTGACCATAAATTTTTTGAGATATACAAGATGCATGAAAATAATAAATATTTGTGAAATTTCTATTGCATGACACTAACAACTATATTTTTAAACTTTCATACTAATATATTGCATGACACTAACAACTATAGTTTTATTTTCCTTCTTTACAGGTTATAAATAGCGAATCAAGTTTCAACTTTCAAGTCAACTAATAGCAGTGTAGCACTACACCTAGTGCAAATAGCAAGAATCAATACTCGCAGTCTCGCACAAGAAATCAAATAGTATCACATTTTCAACAATTATGATTGATATCATGATATGTAATATGTATTAATAAGAAGCAAGCAATTAGTCCGTAAATCTCTTTGTAAATAATTGTAAGTTAGTTAGCATTTCTACAGTCCAACATTTGTAAGTTAGTTAGTATTTCTATAGTCAAACAATCATTTGATTAACCCCATCTTAACAGTCAACTGACTCAACACAATGTTTGAACAAAACTTCTCTACTCGCCAAATTGCTGTCAAACAGTCAAATCTAAATTCTTAGCTCACTACCTCAAATCATTAACTCAAGTTATTAAGTACTAACTATTCATTAAAATAGTAAACATTAAAAATCAGTTTATTACCAACTACCCGAACAGCATTAAGCTCTTAACAGAGATAAATGAAGAAAAAAAGAAAATAAAAAAGGCAACAGAGTTGTTAAGTTCACGTGAGAATAAAAAAAAAAGGCAAAGAGGTGAGACTGAGAGTGAGACCGAAGTTTCGATCAGAGAAAGAAAAGAAAAGAAACGAAGCGGGGAGAGAAAAGGAAAAAAACGAAGAAGGGAGAGAAAATCGAACAGAGAAAGAAAAAAAAACGGCAAACAAAAAGAAATGAAAAAAGTCGGGAAACAAACCTTCGATCACCGCCGGAAGCTCGCCGCGTTCTTCTCGTCGTCGGCTGTTCGTCGTCCTCCGCTCTTTCGTCAGAAGCTCGTCGTCCTCTGCTCGCCGCCGCAGGAGAAGGAAGCCCTAATTCTTCTTGCAGAGGTGAAGATAGAAGCCCTAATTTTCTTTGCAACGATAAAAATCGAAGAGGTGAGACCGATTTGGGACCTTGGGTGTAATATTGAGTCGGGTTTGTACCCGATAGCCTGTTTAAAACCAACCCACATCTGTTGAACTCAAGGCGATCGCCTTGGTTGTCTTCTGAAGCGCTGCGGGGCGCTGATGAGGCGCGCGCTTCGCGTAAGCGTAGCGCCCCGCACCTCATGTAGGGCGCTATGCCGCCGCGCCGCAGCGCTTTGCGCCCGAGGCGCGCGCCTCAGAGCGCTTTTAAAATCACTGGAAACACCCAATTTTGTAAAATTAATTCAGTATAGTAAATCAACTCCAAAAATAATAAAATTTTGGAAAATATTTTTAAACATGTAATAGAACATGTTAGAAAAATAATTTCTTAAATTACGTTTCTCATTTGTGAGATATTATTTATTTTGTAAACCGTTCAAAACATAAAAATATATTTATATACGTGTTGTTAAGTTTTCATGTGTATGTGGCTAAACACATTGTTTACTAAAACCAAAAATGATAAATATGAAACATGTATTTATGTATATAAATAAGTATATTTATTTCATATTTATATAAACTTGAAAAACTATAAAACCAAAACGTGTATGTGTGTATATAATTGAGCTTAAAGTATCTACACACAAAGCATAAAACCTAAACTATAAAAACTATAAAAACTATACCCAAGCAATCTTGATCTTCAATTTGAGCTTGTCTTGATAAACTTTGCGGATGAAGCTAGATATTGGATATTTGACTTGAATTGTATTGGCTTCATACCGATATTTTCACCAACCTCCATTGGATGTGATCGTGTAAGCTCAATTTCATCTTACCTCTGACTGATTGTTTGTCTAGAATAAATACAAAAATACAAATACTAGACAAATAATATTAGTTATAAATTATTTGTTAAAACATCCTCAAAATAAAAAGGCCAACATAACTATCCCATCATACATCTTGATACAAATTTTACCTATCCTAAGGATCTGACATGCACGGTTATCACCCATGTACACCACACTACTATCCAGCTTTTCAAAACTAAAGAACTATTCCCTTTTAAGGCACACGTGATATGTTGCATTACTATCCAACATCCACTCGTATTCCTCCGAATAGTAATCTGTAGGACTGATAGAGAGCGAAAAAACAGATGAGTCGAAAATAATATCATCTGATTCGATGATGTTTGCTTCTGATGATGGTTGTTTCTCTTTTTCCTTTTGCTTGTTATTCATCCATTCGCTAAGCTTTAGACAATCTTTCTTCCAATGACCAGTCTCTTTACACCAAGCACACTGATCTTTACCAACTGTAGGATGCCCTACTCTAGACTGCGACTTCTAATTCTTCCGGTTTGGATTTTTCCCTCTTGCGATCAATACCTCTGCTATTGTGTCGTTTGAAAACTCCTTGTCTTTCTTCCTTAGCTGATAATTCACAAGAGCAGTGGTAACCTCACTATACGAAAGGGACGTCTTCCCATTGATTAGGTTAAGAACGAAGGTCTCATATTCTTCATCTGGTAAGGAACTCAACAACAACAATGTCTTGTCCTCATCCTCGATCATAACATCCATATTCGTCAAATCCGTAAGAAGCTTCGTGTAGTTGTTCATGTGATCACCAATTGAGATTCCCTTCTTTAACTGGAAACGGTAAAGTCTCCTCTTCAAATGCAAGTGATTTTTAACACTTTTTGTTAAATACTTGCTTTCAAGAATCTCTCAAATCTTCTTTGCAGAAGTCTTATTGATCACATCATAATTTAGATCATGTGTTAAACAAGACCTAATGACGCCACACGTCGTCCGATTCATCTTTTTCCAAACCTTTTCTTTCATATCATCCGGCTTGCCATCCAATTCCAAAGTATCCTTCAAATTTTACGTGTTCAACGCATCCAAAACCTCACATCTTTATAAATCAAAATTGTTTGTGCCATTAAACTTCTCCACATCTATCTTTGTAGAGTGGATATTCAAACTTTGAATGATATTCACACCAGAAGTACCACTCTTAACACCCGATACATCTTCTTTTCCAGTCATTTTTCTCAAAGCACCAACAAACTAATTCGGAACTAACTAAAGAATAGATCCAAACTGATAAAATGTAGATTTTTTACCAAAAAAGATTCCACATTTATCTCCAATTGAAACCCTAGAAGAGCTTCCATAGCGATCTACTCCTCCACCAAACTCCAAGCGTAGTCCAAAGCTCTGATACCACTTGTAGTGTGGTGGCGTAGCGGAATCCGCAAAGTTGCCGAGAGAGAGAAGACAGACACAGAATCAAATCAAAAATAACAGCACAAACTCAAAACAGGAGATTTACATAGTTCGACAAGTTGCCTACGTTCACGGGACAAGAAGGAGAGGGTTTTGACTATTAGAGAGAGAATACAAAATAGAGATTACAAATCACTCACATACCCTCAAATTAATCTCTCAAACAAAGCTCTTAACTCTCACCAATTTGCTCTCACAAGAAAGCTCAAAATCACTCATTATCCCTCTTAATTCAGAACAAATTCTGATCAATATAAAACCCTAAAATTGTGTTTCAATATATATCAAAACACAGACCCAAACAGAACAGGAAACCAAGCCCAGGTCCAAACCCGACTCGCAGTCGATCGCCGACAAAGTCGCGGTCGACTGTAGCAAACGACAAAAACCAAAAAACGATTACAGGGTTTGGCGGTCGGTCGCGGTGGTCGACCGGCCAGAGTGCAGAAACACACCATGTACTCATGCACGTTTCCGATCGACCGCTGAAGTCATCACGGTCGACCGTACGGCCTCCAAAATGTTCTCTTCGTCAATTTGCCTGAACTTCGTCGCCGTCGTTCCCGTCGTCGCCGCCACCACCACCACATCATGATGTTGTTTTGAATAAGGTAATATTTTCAGCATAGCAAACATTAAAGAAAGGTATTTACTTAAAAGAGTGGATGCGCTAGAATGATCCCTTGAACAAAGATGCTTCCTTTTTTTATTCAAGAACCTTACGTTGTGCTTGGATGTTTCTAAAGAAGGAAATTCATCATTGAAATCATGATCTAACCCTTTTCCCATCGAAATGGGATCTCCTCTTTTTCAAAAGGCTACATGAGACGTTTTGGTAAAATATTACAACTGGAAACACACACACACACGCACAGAGCATACACACACATTTGACATCAACAATTAAATTAGCCCTTTGCAAGAGAAGTTTCTGATTTTTTTTTCCAATAAAGTTTCACTAGCTTAAAGAAAATTCTGGATTTAAAATCAAAATAAATAGAGTGTGACAAGAAACACTAACTATAAAATGTCTGCTCAATGTTGAAATCTTAACATCATTAAAATTCAGCGATTATTATTATACATCCAAACGCTTCCCTTTCTCTGATCACTCTCCCCAAATCAAGCTAAAAAAGACAACGAATAAATAAAAAAATTCGTTACCTGTTGATCTCCAGCCCGCTGCGGTCTTCGATTAGAATGAACGAAGCGAGCACAGAATCGATCGAAGGCAACTTCGAGAGGAGTTGAAGCGCGGTTGAGTTTTATGCCCTGTTTGGATGGGGGGTAGAGAGGGGGAGGGGAAGAGAAATGAGGCTTTCACCTTGTTTGGGAGTTTTTTTAAGGAGGGTAGAGAGGAGGAAGGAAGGGGAAAGGAGGGTAAAATTGCTTGGTTTTCTTTCCCCCCCGATTTGGGCGGTAGAGGAGGGTAGAGGAGGGTAAAGGGGTGTAATGACATTCTTACCCCCATCAAAACAAATAAAAGAACTGATGTGTTATTAGTATAAAGTCATTTATGTAAATTTACATATATTTACTTCCTTTTACCTTTATTCACCTTACTCAACTCCCAAACAACATATTACAATTCTCTTCCCTTCCCTTCCCTTCCCTTGCCGTTGTTTACCTTTCCTTCCCTTCCCTTAGTAAACTCTCAAACACACCATTAGGGAAAGCACGTTGGCTGCTCAGAAGAACTCAAAACCCTAACGCTAACCTTAAATCTCTTCATTAATGTTCAATTTCACTTTTTTAAGGCTTGTTCATCTCTCAAAAAGGGAGGGAGACAAACAAAAATTCGCTCTTTGAATCCACGCAACGATCGACCGCGCTCCGAATAGAGCCAGAGGAAAACGAATTTTGCACTTACAGCGTTGCAGGTTTGGGCCCGCAGCAAGTGGGCCTCGCTCACAATAGTTGGTCTAGGTTAGCTATTAGCCCAGAAGTTCAGGTGGAAGTCCACCAGGATCGCCGTGAAAAATGGGCCGAGTCGCGTAAATTACTTGTTAAGCGAAGAAAATGTATCTTATAAGCAGGGGTCTTCTAGTCTTTCCTTTATTTTGCATATCAATTTTAAAGGGTGTTTGGGAAGGCTTATTTTTTTAAAGCTTATAAGCTATACTAACTTTTAGTATCTTTTGAATTTTTTAATAGAAATACTATAAAAACTGTTTGGGTAAAATAGTAATAGGGGCACACTGTTGAACATAAACGTGATTAAATTATAGAGGATAAACTTAAGAGCGGAAGCTTATACCTGAATCCATGTCTTGGATTTGAGATGGGTTTTGGATCTTCTAATCTTAGGGTTTCTCTCCTTAAGATCTCTTTAGATGGGGATAAGAGAATGAGAGTGGCTAACCCTAGATTAGGGACCATAACCCCATATATATAGATGGTGTACATTTGTAATTTGTCCCCTCATCAAATTACAATTACAACCTGGTATCTGCACATATAACCTCATGGTTTATTTAGATACCCATTAACCCAAATTAATTAATCACTTCAGTGTGTTATCATGAAGAATAACAATACACACAGATTAATCATATGTGCCCACAAATAGATTTAATTAGATTTAAATCCAACAATCTCCCACTTGGGCACCATATGATTCCTTAAATTGTTTATAACCTTATGAGCTCAAAATTTCTATCACTGAAAAGGTTTTTCTGAACAATCTCGTCCATTGACTATATCAATATATGATCAAAGAGGCCTTCGTCACATTTATCGTGACTCGACCCATCAATGGTCACATATGCCAATACAATCAAATGACATAGATCAATCATAGATGTGCAGCATGAAAATTACATGCAATGTGATCAGTACATGTTTATTTTTAACTGGTCCTACTTTAGTGATGTCAAAACCAAACATAATGTAACAGAGTGTCTTAACTGAATACTTTATTCTGATCAGACAATATAACCAAACACAAAGCACCAAAAATTACAAACTCCCACTAAATCATGATATCCTCTAATATCACCACACTCATATAAGCGGTGTGCTCATGAAAGACCTTAGGTGGAAATCCCTTAGTAAGAGGATCTGCTATCATGGAATTTGTCCCAATGTGCTCTATGGATATCTGTCCACTCTGTACCCTTTCTTTCACAACCAGGAACTTAATGTCAATATATTTTGACTTAGTTAAGCTCCTGTTATTATTGGAATATATTACTACAGATTTATTATCACAATATAACATTATTGGTCTTTCCATATTTTCCAAAATACGTAGTCCCGTGATAAAATTTTGCAGCCATATTCCTTGATTGGATGCCTCATAGCAAGTTACAAATTCTGCTGTCATAGTGGAGGAAGCTACAAGTGTTTGTTTGACACTTTTTTATGATATAGCTCCTCCTGCTAACATATAAATGTAGCCTAATGTAGACTTCCTGCTATCTTGGCATCCAGCAAAATCAGAATCAAAGTACCCAATGACCTCCAGTTGTTCTGATTTTCTGTATGTGAGCATATAATCTTTTGTTTTCTAAAGATACCTCATAACCCTTTTGACTGCTATCCAATGATCCATACCAGGGTTGCTTAAGTATCTGCCTAACATCCCAACAATGTACGCAATATCCGGACGCGTACATACCTGAGCATACATTAGATTTCCTACAGTCGAAGCATAAGGAATCTTCTGTATTTCCTGAATTTCAATGTTACATTTAGGGCACTGATTGAGACTAAACTTGTCTCTTTTAGCCACAGGGGTGTCTCCTGATCCGCAGTCTTGCATGCCAAACCTTTTAAGTATTTTATTGATATAGCTCTTTTGTGATAATCCAAGAATACCCCGAGAGTAATCTCGATGTATTTGGATTCCTAATATAAAAGAGGCGTCCTCAAGATCTTTCATCTTAAAATTTTTTGATAGAAATTTCTTGGTTTCGTGCAACATGTCTATATCATTAGTGGCAAGCAATATGTCATCGACATACAGAACCAGAAAAATATACTTACACCCACTGAACTTGTGATATACACAGTCATCAACAATATTCATCTCAAAACCGAACTAGATAATTATTTGTTGAAACTTGTAATACCATTGACGAGGAGCTTGCTTGAGTCCATAGATGGATTTCCTTAATTTGCAAACCATATTCTTTGGGTCTCCTGACACAAAGTTTTCTGGTTGCACCATATAAATCATCTCATCAATATCGCCATTGAGAAATGCAGTCTTAACATCCATCTGATGTAACTCGAGATCATAATGAGCAACAAGTGTCATGATTGTTCTGAAAGAGTCTTGTGATGAAACCGGAGAGAAAGTCTCTGTATAATCAATGCATTCCTTTTGAGTAAAGCATTTAGCTACAATACGTGTCTTATACCTCTCCACATTACCATTTGCATCCCGCTTGGTTTGAAATATCCATTTACAACCAATTGGTTTTGCACCTTATTGTCTTGCATAGACTTGTACTCTTTATTCATGGCATCAATTCACTATTAAGAGTTAGAACTTTTCATAGCCTAAAGAAAGTTGATTGGATCATCTTCCAACATTCCATTACTTTCCTCATGTTCTTGGAGAAATACAATATAATCATCTGAAATAGCATTTCTCCTTTCTCCCGTGGATCTTCTTAATGGCACCGGTTCTTGAGGTTGTTGAGTTTGTTCTTCTGGAACGGGAAGTTGTTCAACATTGTCATCTTGAGGTTCCGGATTTACTTCTTGAGCAATAACAGGTATAGTAACATGAATATTATCAAAAGTAACTGTATGGATTGGATCTGAAGCTAATTCCTCCTCAAAAGCAATGTCTCTAACATTATCCCCCCCCCCTAACTCAACATCCTCAAAGAATGTTGTTGTTCCCGTCTCAAAAATATTCCTAAGTGTGGGATCATAAAACTTATAGCTCCTAGAGCGTTCAGAATACCCAATAAAGTAGCTGCTAACTGTTTTGGAGTCCAATTTCTTTTCATTTGGCCTATAAGGCCTTGCCTCAGCTGGACATCCCCAAATATGTAAGTGCTTTAAACTGGGCTTTCGATCAGTCCAAAGCTTATAAGGTATTTTAGCAACTACTTTACTTGGTACTCTATTCAGAATGTAAGCTGCTGTCTTAAGTGATTCTCCCCAGAGTGACTCTGGTAAAGAAGAATGAGAGATCATACTTCTTACCATATCCTTAAGAGTCATGTTTCGTCTTTCAGCTACACCATTCATGCTAGGTGAACCCGACATTGTGGGACGATACCGCATTCCTCTAGGTATCTAACAAATGGTCCTGGACGTTGTTCACCTGAACCATCATATCTACCGTAGTACTCACCACCATGATCAGATCTAACGGTTTTAATTTTTCTGTTGAGTTGATTCTCAACTTCAGCTTTATAGGCTTTGAACATGTCTAGAGACTCAGATTTTTCATGAATGAGATATAGGTACCCATAACGTGAGTAATCGTCTATGAATGATATAAAATATTATTGATCATTCCAAGATGCCATAAGGAATGGTCCACAAATATCTGTATGTATCAAACTTCCGAAGATCTGTTGGCACCTAATCTCTTAACTTTGATCTGTTTTCCCTTGATACATTCAACACATACGTTAAAATCTAAAAATCTAGGGAATCCAAAATGCCATCAGACACAAGACGCTCAACTCTACCTTTTGAGATATAACCCAAGCGCTTATGCCATAATGTCGCTGAATTTTTCTTATTTAATTTACGCTTAGTACTACGCGATTCCGCATGCAAAGTTTCATTATAAGAAGCAATTGTATCAAGCAAATATAGGTTGTTATAAGTACTCAAGTAACCAGTTCCTATAATATTTGAATTAAAAGATAAACTAAATTCATTGTTTCCAAATGAACAAGAATAACCTAATTTGTCCAATACAGAAATAGAAATCAAATTCCGTCTAAAAGACGGTACTACAAAAGTATCTTTCAAATCCAAATAAGAACCAGTTCCGAACACCGTGCTTAATGATCATAAGACTCATGCGATTTGAACGCTCTCACTTCTCATACTCATTCCTTGCATCAGGAGTGCTATCCGCATTGAGAGGTTGGGGTTGTTCAGTTCTTAATGTAAGGTCTAGATCCATGCAGCCAAGAACAATTAATACGTTCTCTTTCCAAACCTTGAAATTTGTCTCATTAAGCATGGGAATTGAGTTGATGTTAGCAGAAATTATTGCAGCAGATGCATTAGCTGAAATAAACAAAAAATACTCACATTAATAACCATAATTAGTAATCAATAA